TCCCCTACCTCTGGGGGGGGGGGGGGGGAATGAGTTGAGGGGCTGTGTGGGGCTTAGCTGCTGGCTGGGTTTAAAACACACCAAATTGTTAGTTACAAAGCGTGTGTGGTGTCATAAATGATAACACAGAAGTAACATGTTTCTTCTGTCTTCTGGCTTAATACTACTATTCACTGGTTTATTCTCCCTCACACAGTAAATGTAGCTTTCTGTAATCAAATCAGTACTTTTCTGTGTAAACACGCAGGGAAACTATTGATAAACTAGATTTTAAACTACCATGATGCTCAAAAATAAGCAAAATGCATTTTTCTAACAACAAGGGCTCTTGTGGTGTTCTTCTGGGAGACAATTTTGGTTATATCAGAGAGCACAAAGTGGCTGGCACGGAGCCAGCATCTGGCCCTGGCTGCACGCTGTCTGAGCTGCCTATTGCTTGTACACAGGCCTGCCAATGTAAGAGCATAAGCACATCGTAACACGATGTGGCTATGAAGTGCGTGGGTGATGAGGTAGCAAATACTTCTTTTTTTCTTGATGTGTTCTGTAACATAATAATGGATTTTTCATGAATTTTTCTGCGTAAAAACCACAGGAACATACAGAATTGCTCTTCATGCTGCTTGAGAGAAGTGACTCAACATCCATCAGTCCTTTATACCTACTTTAAAATTGCCAGTGGGAATGCCCTGACAAGGGAAGGCAAGACCATGCAGCCTGAGGGCGGTTAGTGCCCTCATGACAAAAAATGGCAGCCAGCCTTCGTTCTATTTTCTTATGGTAGCTAGCAGGGAAGGAGAGAGGCGTTGCTTTCTGCTTTGCATTTCTCATCCGGGCAAGGAGACAGACTGCCCACAGTACTGGAGGGGAAGGTTGAAGTGTTAGTAAAGATTACATGACTCCTTTTGGCTTCTGTCCTTCTTCAGACAGGTCTTCACAAAGATAGCGCAAGTGAATTTTCAGTTGCACAATTGCCATGGGCCTCACTAGGAGCTAAAACTTCACTGATCACATTCATCAGAATTACGAGTTATTGCTGCTCAATTATCTAGCTGTTGTTGTTAAACACTAAAAATCAGAAATAGCCTATTTTTCCCTGCACAGTAATCTGCAAGCCATTCAGGCCAACCTAAACTGAGCTGTGATTGCAAATGAACGAGCTGGTGCTACTGGGCTATTCCTGGCAATGCCAGTGCTAGTAGAGGTTGCCTGTGCTGACAAGATGGCTGGTGCCTACATAACAGCTCTGTCTCAGTGCAGGGAAAGGGACTGTACGGAAACCCAGAGCTGCTTCTGCAGCAAAAGCTAACTTTTGTGCCATGGATTTAAGCCAGGACGCTATGAGGTCAGCAGAAAGGTTTCCTTAGGGCTTAGAGTAAGGTCTCCATCACAGAGATGTGTGTCTCTGGTGTCTGGGTTGCTTTTAAATGCTGTGTTTCAGTAAATGTAAGACAGAGGGTGAGCTTTGCTGAGAGTGGCAGGGCCAGCAATGTCCTGTTTCATTCTCCTCTGGGTAAAGCTCTGCAAAACAAGGTACTGCCGTGCTTGCAGGGCTGCAGGGGCACGGAGGTGCTGCTCTCAGGGTTGTGGTTTCTCGGCTGCGGAGCAGGGCTGCCAGCCCTCCTCCAGCCAGCCTGTGAGGGGAACTAGTAATGACAGTGGGCCCTGCCTAAAAAATAAAACAATGAGCCTTTAAAAAGGGAGAGGGAAGATGTTGGGAAAGTATGTCCTAAGAGGGGATGAGCTGCTTTGGTCTTTCATTTCTGTAGTCCTTTGCGTAGAAGGAATTTGTCCGAAGCAGCGGGGTCTGTGGCTCTGCTCTTTTCACCCTCTGTGCTAGAGCCCTGCAGGGGATCCCCCTGGTTACAGACTGCTAAGACGTACCTCTCTGCTATTAGACTAATTGATTGCAATTGCAAGTGTCTCTTACTGCCCCACTGTTTCTTTATATACGTGATGAGGAAAGACTAGACCCGAGAAAAACATAGGAAGGGGAGAGAGAAGAAAAACACAACATAAATAAAAACTATTGATCTTTAATTTCTATTTATTTTCATATGCTTAGCAAAAAGCACACTTATACTGAAAATCACTCTAAATGTAATCAGATGTTCCCTGTAGCAGGTTGAAGTAAAAAGGTATATTGATGTTATGCTTAGAGAGAATTTGGAGCTTTTGACAGTCTTTTTTTTTAATGACTTTTCTGTTTACCTTTTAATTACTCTCATCACTTTATTTTACCCTGTTACTGTATTTTCTTACTTCCAAAGATTAGGAATAAAGCACTATGTTAATTTCCCTTTTAAATCTTTAGGCTAGTATTTATCTCTGAATGTAAAAACTGATAACCAGAGATAAAAATTTCACTGCAAAAAAATTCCTTTAATTATCTTAGCAAGTAGGAATAGTCTCAAATATGAGTACAGTGCGTCATGCCGAAGGAATGACAGCTGAGGAGAACTGTCACCAGCAGTTCTCATATACTGCATCTCCTCGCCGGTACCCATGAGCTTGGATGGTGACTCCATTGCCTGATGAGCTTCTTCAAAGTGTTGACAGAAATATGTGACTTTTTTCAGATAAAGGCTGGCCAGTGGCCATGCCTTACTCAGAAAATGCCAGGAGTGGATGTAGCTCTCTAGGCAGGAAGAAAGTGAAGTGACCCAGAAAACAGTGTCAGCTTTCAGAATCCCATAGCTTCTGGTATTTTTACTGAACGAGAACTGCTTTCTGGACACTTATAAGCATCAATTGAAGACTAAAGTTCTGACTCCTGGATTCAGTTTAAATACAGAATATAATTGCATGTAGGGTGCTTCATACAGGTTTTGGGGTTTTTTTGGTATGCGTGCTCTGAAGGTCATTAGGCAGACGTGATCCTGAGAGTATAATACGAGAACCAGATAGGAAATTTTTTCAGTTCGTATAATTTTTAATGAATGATTTAAAAAGAAAGAAATTACAAGCTTTTGAAAATAAAACATGTTTGCATGTGTCTACATTTCAGACAAATGGAAAACATTCTATGGGTTATGATTGTATATGACTTTATATAATGTTTTAAATTTTTTTGTTGATTCTTATAACTTAAATTCACATGAAGATTACATGTAATTTCTGTGTATATAAATTGACTTACAGCTACTGCAGTTTAAAAAATGTGAACATTTGTCTTTTGCAATTTTGGGAATATAGTTTGCTATACATTTGCCTAATGCAGAGTTCCTGTGACCACAAAATGTCTTTTTGCCAAATAGTATATGCACATATTTCATGAAGCGGTCTACAGCTTTGCAGAAACTAGGGCAAGCTCTGTAAATAGAGAATGTCAGGTAATTATTCAGATTCTTTTTTTTATGCCAGAAAATAACAAATTTGTTCTGTAGTTTTTCTGAGATTTCTGTGAAATGTCTAATAATGTTGCTTATCGTTGTTTCACCTACAGGTACATTTATGTTCCGATGGGAGGATCTCAGTCCAGTCTGCTGGGAACGCTCTTTTCCACAGCCCTCACTTTTGCCTTTGTAAGCTATTGGCACGGAGGACAGAGTTATCTGTGGTACTGGGGCGCACTTAATTGGCTTGGAGTAATTGTGGAAAATGGCGTCAAGAGGATACTTTCTGTTTCAGTTATTCAAGATTTAATTGTAAGTTGAATCTCTCTTCATTTCATGTTCTTGTTTCCTGGCTCTGAAGTTCCTGGTTACTAGTTTGGTTTAATCTAGATTAAAAGTCTTGGATAACAGATAAAAGAGTTAACGTTCCCTTGCCCATCCTCCAGTATTTGAGGTAAGCCATATAACTAGAATTTTGCAAAGTATCAGAAAATTAAACACTGAAAATATGCATCATCTTAAAAGCTTCCTCTGCAGTCCTAGGGTAAGCAACTGCTTGTCACGTTGTATATGGCTGAGCAGAAGCCAGTTTTAACATTTGTATTCTGATTTCACTCAGGATGGCCTTAAAATATTCATCTTCACTAAAATTAGGACTGTATATTTCTAACCATGCGTTTCCTGGACAAATGCGTGTAGCAGCTGCTTGCATCTGGGAACAAGCTTACACTGGGAAATCTTATGCTATTAAAGAGCCAAGTAAAGAAAATATTAATTTGCTTTGAAGACCTCTGATATTTTCACTTTAGTTATACTTTTGACCTTCATGCTGTCATTTCCAAAGGACAAAATTGTCTTTGACATGCAGTCATATGCAAAAAGCACATTTTAATTTTGATGGTCATTTTAGTCTGCAGGTTTGCTCACTATTAAATCTCAAATCTTCTAATAACTTTTGTAAGAATAAATAATTCCTATGTCTTGCTTCCTTAGTAGTGATAAGTGCACAGAATTCATACTCCTATATAATGTTGTGGTGGTGGTGACTCATTCTGCAGCCTGATGAAGTCGTGATGCTCAAGTAATTATGCTTGTTCTCCATCCCACCCATCCCAATTTTCACTGTTGTAGCATCCCATGTGTGGCAACTGATACAGCGAAGTAATTTAGTAGCCAATAACAGCCAGTGCTACCTTATATCATCCAACTGTCCGTCACTGTGAATTCAGTGACAGTCTGGAAGCAGCTTTTTTCCTTCCTAGAGAATGAGTTTATCAGATCCATTAATCTCCCTCTAGGGTGAAACTGAGCTTCATCATCTGACCGGCTGCATACGTTTGTCTCTGGACTGGAAAACAACATAAGTTTTTTAAGCATCCAGCTGTATGAGGATATATAAATGTAGGGGCTTTTTTATTTATGTCACTGTATTAGAAATTTTAAAAGAACTCTTAAGGAGTTAAGTGCTTAAATACCATAGAAATGATAAGGACGTGGCATTATGAAGGTGGGGTTATATGTGTTGGATTAATTTCTAACACATAGTTCTAATTATAGTTAACTGATGCTGGCAGTAGGGTTCTTTTTTGTATAAATTAACTCCCTAACAATGAACCAAGTGCATTCTACCCCTTTCCTCCCCTTTGTTTTCATCCATTGTTTTTAAAGGCCTATCCAATGTCTTCCATGTCTCCCTTGTTTTCCATTTCTGTTTGGAAAGATGGCTGTAGACCTTCCTTAGAAGACACTTTCACATCTTTCCCTGAAATATTTCTGAAGCCAATGTTTTTAATATTAATAGTTTTGGCATCTGAATTAGTGCATTAGGCATATCTTGCTGCATTTGGTTATGCTTTGCCTTGTGCCTTGAGGGTTTCCTCTACAACAACATAAGCTACAGTCTATGCAAACTACCCCTCATTGCTGTCTCCTCACTCTTCTAGCAAACTCCCATTTTCTTCTTGAACACTGAGACTGGGGAGCAGATGAGCAGTTGGACTTTGACCCTTCCTTATCAAGGGATGGAGTGACATGACATTCTCTACGAAGTATCACTTACATTTAAAATGAACTGCAACTTCCCTAATGCCCTGTATAAATTTCCTTTTTTCCCTTGTAATCTGGCTTTTGGAAGCATTCCCGTAATCCTGTCTCAGCGAGAGGTGTGCTGCAAGCCTAGTCACCATGGCGTTGAGAACCCCATTCTGGGGGATGGGTTTTTCACTTAAATTTCATCTGTTGACAAGCTGAAATCCTTTGCATTCTTGTGCTTCACTCACTTGCTGTGTTGGCTCTTGAAGGCTATTTTTGAAAAGGAAAGTTTATTTTTGTCCCCAGAATAGGAGATGAGTTTCTGAAAAAATACAAAGCACAGGTTTATGCTTTTTTAGCTCATTCTATTTACCAAACCTTCTCATATATTGTTGTTAAAGTTGAGTTACATGATTCAGTTGAGCAGGAGGTGTTTAATTAGTAAAATATAAAAAAAACCCTTGAAGAATAAGTTGAATTTTAATTCTGCTCTGTTTTTAAAATTGAATTGATGACAAAAAATAACACGAATTATATCAAAACTGTTCCTCTTTTTTCCCCACTATATTGTCTCAATTATCTTGCAAAAGAAAGATTTAGAAATCTTAATAAAGCACATTTGAGTCTTGTCCTTCACTGAATCCTTGTGCTGACTAAGAATATATATAAAAAGAATTGGACCCTATATTATGCAGATTTTATGGTAGTTTAAATCTCAGCACTTGAAACCTAGTGCAATATGGGTAAATAACGCTTTTGTAGCAGCCTGACAAGTTTTAAATGTCATCTCAGGCATATTGAACTAGAATGAACAAAGAAGCATGGGCGTTATTTGTGAGAAGTAAAATCAGCATATAAACAAACATTTACTGAAAACAGTAAATTTCCTGACCCAAAAAATTGAATCTGAAACTTTTCATTTGTACTGGTGGGAAACCAGTGCCTGGCTTCCTGATTTCGGCTCTAAAAGAGCTGATGTTCCTTCTTACGTACTTTTCAGCTTACGTTGCTCTGAACTGTCATGTTTCAGTGAGTTGTGTTGTGAGAAGTTATCTATGTATCTTTTTTTTTTCCCCCTAGAGATTAGTTGTTAGATATCAGTAAATTAGAGCTGAATTAAGTAATGTTGTCTTTTCCTTAAAACACTGTATATAAAACAATAAAGGCTATGCATCATAAGCTAGGACATATCTGGGAACTTTATATTAAAATGGAGAAGTTTCATTGTGTTTTTGTCAGTTCTTTTCTTTTACTTTTTCAGGAGACATTTAGACCCATACTGAGCAAAGTAGTGCTTTGTTTCACTGATTCTATATTAATTTCTTGCAGATGAACAGAGACTCTAGTAGTAACTTGTTCAAAATCAATGACAGAATTTGTATTGACTTTTAATACATAACATGTCAGATTTCTGAAAGAAAATGCTAATGGCAATCATTCTTCCAGTGACTTAATTTTTTTTCCTTAAGGAAAGCAAGATACAGATCTATACAAGAAATTAAATCTTGGTATAAAAACAGATTTAGAATTATTTAAACCTTAGAATAGCTGACAACATCTTTAAATCAATGGATTTTAAAAAAAGAAATATTTGGAAATCATCCAAAAATAGATGTAGCAAAGGGGATGAAGTTGGCAGATTCTTAAAATTAATTTTTAATCTCAGTTGAAACAGCAACATTTATCATCTTAGTTCTTTTGTAAAGTGAAAATGTCATTCAGTCTAGTAAGAATTTTTTAAATTGAGACATAAAGATCTCTCTTCTAAAAATCATGGTATGATGAATTTCTAGTTTAAGATCTTATTTCTAGCTTTATTTAGTAAGAAACTGAATACACCATAAACAATTCAATTTGAGAAACCAACTAATTTTAAGCATGGCTTATTTTAAAGTAATTTGTACTATCCTTGTAAATATTTTGGTTTTTTAAAGTATATAATACTTTGATTTCTACATTTTCATTTATGGCTGTAACGAGGTGCACTGCTTAAGTCCATTTCAGTACACTAATTGCCTTCCCAACCCCCCTTTGCAAAAGGGGAAATATTTTGTATGATGTCCATGTTTTTGGTTAGTGTGTTAGATTAGATTTGGTTAGTGTGTTAGATTCCGCACCCCCACCCCGAATAATGAACTCCATACATTTGTCTCTATAGGTAAAGCGTCACCATTGTTTTGGGTACCAGAGATGTAGTCAATGACAATTGGCATCCTCAGCTTCACAGAGAACAGAATTTTAGAAGTCTTTTAGAGGGGTTTTTGTCTGGGTTTTTTTCTGTTTAATTTTGTTTGCCCTCTTTCTTCTGGTAGGTACAATAGTTTCTACAGTTATTCATAATAAGTTATGCATTACGCAACGGTCCTGCAGACAGCTGGTGTGGAGCATGGAAAGGTACTGACTGGTAAGCCTGACCTCTGGGCTGTGGTTCGACAGAGAATTAAGCCGATCTACCAGCTCACTGCTATTGAAGGGGGAAAGGTTTAATTTCCCTTTCCTCCCTTCCTTGCAGTCTCACCACTTCCTCCTCTGCATGCCTTCCTGCTGGAATCTTTGCTGAGCTGACTTAGCGCTCTACCCCAGCAGAAAGCTTTACTTCCTCTGGTTATTTTATTGCTAGATGATTTATCTCATGGACAGGAATCTGAAAAGCACCCAAAGCAGTACAATGTAAGAGACAAAAGCCAAGGAAAGGAAGTGGAAGAGGAGGAGCTTGACTACTTGGAACCTCCCCCCTTGCAAACGTGCATGAGCAGTACAAGGCAGTAGGCTGAGCCTCCATATTTTAAGTTCGTGGGACAAAGAAACTAACTGGGTTCTGCTGAAGTAATTACTCAGCTCTATGTTAGGGCCCAATTCAACCTAGCCAAGATAAGATCCCTGTGAATTTCACAACCATGTCCTATATACATTAAGCAAATGTATAACTGTCTCCTTTAATGACAGAATTTCTTTCTGCAAGTGTAACTCACTTTAAACTGCCATGAGATAACTGTAAAGCTTCTTTCTGCAGCTGACTGAGGCAAGATCTGACCAAACATTAGGAGCTTGTTCAAGGGAAGTATGTTTGTTGACCGCCTTGCAAGATTAGATCTTTAATAAGATCTCTGTAATAAATAAATACCCTTCTCAGCTGTTCTTCAGCACACACTAGGCTTTGATCTTTATTTTGCTTCATTTGGTGGAAAGAGTATTTATATCAGTGGTTTACTGATGTCAAGCCTGTCTGGCCTTTTCTTTTTTACTAGTAGCTGTGTAATTCATACATATTTTTATTGCAA